ATAAAGTAAATTTGATTTTTAATCGACTTCAAAAAAGGAAGAGGTTTTACGCGATTACTCCGACATTTTAAACCAATTTCGAAGATTCTTTTTTGTTAGAAAGGAGGTTAGTGATCCCATTCAAATTTGAAGAAAATATTCCACCTCGAAGGGTGGCAAATCAGGGAATGAATCCGGTTTATGGGACTTCACCCACTTCCCGTTAACCGATTTGAATAAAACTTGTCAAATAGGTGTAATTTCACAAACCTTTGAGGTTGGTTTTTGTATGAAAAAGTTATATTTTTTACATGTGTCAGCCTTCCTTATCTTATTTTCACCCAAAAAGGTCGATTTTTTAATCTAATAAACCTATTTATTATATTTATAATATAAACTAGAATGTTGGAGATTATACCCAGCAGAGATGTCTGTCAATTGATTTTTTTGATAGCTTCAATGGTAAAGGGAAACATCACAAAACACATGCACGTCTGAGAACGTTCTCGTAACTTTAGGAAGATGTAGGAAATGAAACTATTTTTCCGGATTTATATCGTGTATATATTCGTTTTTTCAAATTAACCGACGTTTCGGGCCCTTTACAGGTCCCATGGTCACGGTTGACTGAGGTGGTACAGTCTTCAATCAGTTATGTCTAATATTGATGCAAACCACCCTATTTTTTCACTATAGTTACAATAGTTATTAATTAAATACCTTATTTTTAATTTTACAAAGAAAACATTCCAATTTACGCTACATTAAGTTTTACCAATTATATAAATAAATTATATAAACAAATATACGCGATTTAAATCCGGAAAAATAGTTTCATTTCCTATGTGTAACAATCGCGAAAACCTAAGAACTCGATGTTTAGGAAGATGTGTGAATAAGAACACTTTCATGATGTATATACATATACATATATATGTGTATATATACGAATAATAGAAATAATCACTGCCTCCTTACCTATTTCTGCCACCAAGTAGTAATGTCAGCATTACTGCGTTTCGGTCTGGATAGGCGACGGTGCTGGTGAAATTACAGGTACATGGGACTTGTCAACCTATGTCTTAGGGTGACGGGCAACAGTGGCAGGGTGCCTTTGATCTTTGTGATTAAAAGCTCTAAATGGCACTGCAACTGTCGTTTACCAGGCGCACGATGTTTTCGTCCCGTCATTTGATGTTATAAAAAAAGATACAGTTTATATTATTTATATATCAATCTAGTTTAATTCTATAAGCAACATTACCATTTGCACGTTTTATTATTATCCCCGTCAATTTTACCATAACTCGCATCTGTGGTGTAATAAGACCCCATGTGCAAAATCACAAGTTTTCCGGAGAGAGGTTTGAACATTCCAGAAACGAAGTTAGTCGATGATATACTTAAATAGAGGAGTTGTATAATTTCACATACACATAATATAGTTCATGTAGTCTGTGGTGTTCTTATGACCTTCTTGTGTCCACTTCGGCTCAATACCATGGGTAGGATATATTACTAGGAATTTTAGGCAATATCATATACATACGTAACTAAGGTAATATTCTGAGTAAAATTACTAATTAATAACATAACAATTATACATATATGGCTTTAGTTTTAAATGGAACGTTTTTGTCCATTCTATTAATACCTTTATGCAAAGTGGACTCAAATATGACTATATAAAGCCGACGTTTTACTAGGAAAAAACCATCAGGTCTTTATACATGGAATTTGAAAAATCCCGACCTGGTGTCAGTTGTCGTTTAGCGTGAACGATGCATCGCAGGAAACAGGGTAAGACGATATTGTGATTAAGTGATCGGTAATGCTGAAATAGGAGGTCTATTGCACCTTTATAGATCGGAATCCATTGGCTAGGTGTTGCAAATGTATGGGATTCACAAGCTTTTGTTTCAACGATAACTTCTCGATGGTCCGATGACACTTAACATCAACTGTAGTCAGTTTTCTGGAATAATTTTATGTTGTTTGAAACAACTAACCTCGCTTATGCGCGGGTCACAGCGCTAACGAAGCTAAGCTAACTTAGTTCACGTAGCCAGGGCATCTTTTCATACTAACGGAGCAAAATTTTATTTTTTTTTACGTGGGGAAATTCTCCTAGGATACCTCTCCGCCGCAGGGGCAGCGGAAAGATTATTTCTAAGACTTCTACCGGCTAAAACCCCACGGTGGCCTTCTCGGATGCTCTAGTGGGACGGATCCTGGATCGACATAGCACACCGGAACCCCTCAACACCTAGGAGAAGCTACGTCCTCCCCCTCCCCTCCTCATGGCGAAGCGGGTCACACCGCCCCGTCAAAGCTAAGCTAACTTAGCTCACGTATCCGGGGCATCTTTTCATATTTCGGTTCACACCGCGTACTAAGCTAACTAAACTAACCCAACGAACCCGCTAGCTGTGTAAAATATGTCCGCCTTTCTGCCGCCCTTCACCCCTACACGTGTCCATAGTCACTACTTATTACGTATTTTCATAGCTTAGCTTTGCATGCAACTATGTGAGCTAAGCGAGCTTAGTTAGCTTAACTAGCTTAGTCATAGGCATGTTCATAACAGTTGCAGTGACACTCGGAGCGTCGGACCTGGGGGTCTACTCCTGTTCTTTGTCCGGCATCCATCCGAAACAATGACTGTCAAAGAGGGAATCTGCCACTGCGCTCGTTACCCTGAAACATAAGTTACCAAGCCAAATAATGAAATTCTCTTGGACGCATTTGCTATACCTTCCAAAAATTAAGAAGACTTACAGATCTCACTTAAAAATAAATCATTAGTAAATCATCATGATATTCAATAAATAAATATGGCAAAAAGACTTAAGTTTATGGTAAAATATGAAAACAAATTCGAATTGCACTGATACGTAAACAATTTTTTTTTTATTTTTTTTTTTATATTATTAAGTGACGGGACTAACAAGTCGTGCGCGTGATGATAAGCGCGCCCATAACGGTTGCACTCGAGAGCTTTAAATTGCAAAGACCTGAGGGGCACTGCCACTTTCGTCCGTCACCCTGAGACATAAGTTGACAAGTCCCATGTGCCTGTAATTTCACCAGCACCCTTACTTACCCTTCAAAACTGGAACGTAGTAGTGCTCACATTACTGCTTGGCGGCAGAAATAGGTAAGATGGCAGTATTTCTCTGGACTAACTCTTTCACGAGGAATTCCGTTATACCATAGAGGTGGACGCATATAACAATGTTGTTTCCTTGTTATTGTGATATTATACATCAACGCAGACTTTGAAATGTATATCGTATTGAATATTGTATATTTTTGTTAGGATTAACATTGTTCTTAATATGACGTCCTCTACAGACACAGACTAGTTCTACAGATCATATTAAAAAACCGGAATTTTTCAGAATTTACTTGAGATTAAAAAATACCCGGCAATTTTGGGAAATTTAAAAAAAAAACGGTATTGTTCAATTGTTTTTCTTCAAAACTTAAGTGACTAATCAATAGTAATAACATGGCACAAAATACCGTAATAATGAGTAATGTTAAATTTAAAGGAAAGCTGCGCGGGCGCCTGCACCCGACACCGTTCTGCGAACTGTAGCGCCACCGTGTGGGAACCATTGTTTTCTGATTTCACCTCTGATCTGTAATATCCATGTGTTAAGTACTTGAGTATTTAGTAATATTCTAGAACGATTTAAGTCTAGAATGAACATTCCCAAAGATAGTTACATGAAGCTGGATTGTTATATCCTTTCAAACGGTGAGACAAACCTGTTAGAGCACACGCTGCGGGATTGGTGACGACGTCCTTAAGCGCACAGGTCAACTTAAATTGGTACTTGAATTAATTTGTTGATTCAACCAGTATACAGATAGCCTGCGTGCGAATTCCGGTTCATGCAGCACTCAGTTTCATTCAGCACGTATGCTCGAGAACGAATTATCAACAGAAATTAACAATATTGAAATTAGCATACACAGAATTATGCCCAGTACTTTCGCATTCAACTTATTAGACACAGTGAATAGACGGGTACTATCAACGAAGTTAAAGCCTTCCCAATCCCAAAACAATTTTAATCTTCTGTAGTTATTCATTAAACTATTACCACTAATTATAGTTTTCTTAACACGGTATAATTTTCACGATATTTTGGAACGGTTACACATACCACGGTTACGGGTTGATTGGCCAGTAGCAGAGTTATGACATCAAAAGTGACATTATACAGAGTAGCGATGTACGATTTTTTGCTTTGAATAGATTTTTTGGATCGTAATGGATCATACGCCTCTGAATCGATCCACGGATTGGATCTTATAGTTTTGAATCGATTTCATAAAAGTCGTTTAAAAATTTGTTGTAATACATAAAACGCCTTTGTTAAATGATTTAATGGCCATATTCATTTTTTTTTTTGCTTTTCACTGATACCAATCCTTTATATCTAACTAAACTTTTCAATAATAATGTAACGTTACTTACTTAATGTCCAAAATATGGCCCTCCTTCTTATTTTCCGTTTCTGTACTTGACGAAATCATTAAATGAGACTTTTGTTTAAATTACGAATACGCTCTAAATAATTCGATTGGCCTTAATTTTGAATCGATTCGCTTAAAAATCGCATGAAATGAATATATTCAAAAAAATCGCTAGATCGTGTACAATTGAATCGACCTTCATAAAAATGGAATCGTAATGTGCATCCCTATTACAGAGGGCAGTTCACTATCTTTTCTATCAGCAATTCCGGAACAGAAAAGTTTGATTGCAACATTTTGATGCTTTATTTATTGCAATCAGCTTTGAAGCCGGTCGGCTTCAAATGTTTCTCCCAAAACATTATAACAACGATATAGAAGTACTATTGTGTTTTGATGTATTAAATCACATAAGTCGTCTTTGATATAAACCTTACAAAGTGCCATCTGGCGAGTGTCGTGTTGTTAGGCTTCAACCCTATTTATCGTTCGTATTGTTTTTGCGATGCTAACAGTGAAATATTTTTTTCCAGTATGATGGATTCTGGAGGAGCAGGGATAGCGGAGTCACCCCCCACATACCACCGAAGCTACGAACAATACGTTCAAGGAGGTGTTGAGAACAGTACAGACTCCGTTCAAGAACAAACCAGCCCAGAACTTGTAGTCTGGTCGACTCTACCTTACGGCATAGACTATAGAGCTCAATATGACTACCGAAGTCCTTATGACACGGCAAGGGATTATGGTTCTCAGCAGTTTGCTAGAGCGCCTTTTACTACGAAGATGGGACAAGCGAAAGCTTTGAAGGAAGCCAGGATACGAAGACCCATGAATGCGTTTATGGTGTGGGCGAAAGTGGAGCGAAAGAAGCTGGCTGATGAAAATCCGGATCTACATAATGCAGATTTGAGTAAAATGCTAGGTAAGTTCGACTATATTACTTCATATGTACACTTTGAAACGTTTATTTTGATACGATACTGTTATACTATATTATAATAGCAGGTAGATACTTACAAAAAGTAAGAAAGTTTATAAATAGAAAATTTCTTCGAGGGCCGTAACCTGGGGCATCGTGCCCAGAAGGCTGGCAACATTTCCCCTTTGAATTGCTAAACTAATTCTTTGGAGGCAATAACTGCCCACCTTGTGGTCACCAGAAGCTTCTACGTGGTGATCCGAAAGATCGTTCGCTAGAAGTTTCGCCTGTGGCCCCCAGGGACCCAGGGTTTCAACTGCAAAAGGCACAAAGCTGTAGCACTAGGCAAGGTTGGCGTATTTAAGCCTTTTGCAACTGCAAAATGTTCCCGACCGCTCTGGCCACAGATCCAGCGCCGCTCACGCTTGCAAGGACATGTGAGGGGGCTGCAGTGTCCACACATATTTTTAGTTTGTAAATAAGTTCTTTTTTATTTGAGAGTATTAAAAAAAATCTTAGTTGTAATTCACGATGTAACAAATTTTCAAAACAATTCTGTGTCTGATTTGACAGTGTTGGTCTTTGTTGAAATGACCAGCATATATGTAGAAGCTATGCCTCTAAACTTCGCTTTTGTGGCAGGAAAATAAAGATTTTTTCGTGGTTCTATGTTAGAACTAATTAGAAAATAATGTTGATAACAGATCACAGACACAAAAATCCTGTTACATGTTATTGGTATAAGTAGTTATTCAAAGCACCTAAATCTCACCGTGTGTATTCGTAATGCAGCATCGAAGACGTGTCGTGCCGGTTCGTTTCCGCAATCGATTCGCCCATGACGTTTGCATCCGAAAATCCCGTTCTTCTTCCATGCAAAATTCGAGAGGAAAACACGAAAATGAGATTCGTTTGCGAAAGAGCTTGTGTCTAAAGATAGCGATCGGAAGAAATACTTTTTTTGTCAGTGCATTTCATTTAACCTGTCTTAAATTTTCGTTCACGTATGGCAATAACTTATTTCTCTGTTAATCAATAAAAGAAAATTTGTGGCAAGTCGATGACGGTCTCCGTGATCGAGTGGCTTGCACATCGGGTTTCATGGTGTCGCCATCTTTGAGGTCCCAGGTCCGAACCCCGGACGGGTCAGTGTACAAAAGTTTTATATATCTCGGGTCTGGGTGTTTGTGGTAGCGTCGTTGTTTTTCGATTTCCATAACACAAGTGTTTTAGTTACTTACTTTGGGATCAGAACAACGTATGTGATGTTATCAAATATATAGTTATGATTTATTCGATGTGTTTCTTAATATAAAGATGGTTGACAAAAAGCATTTACAGACAAACTACACTGTACAGTCAGAAGTCTATACCTTTGACTCATCGCTCAAATGGATCCTAATACTTTGAATGCTTTTTATGCTGGTGTGGTGACTTTGATAAGGGAATTACCATTTCGAAATGACTTAGAGTGTGGTACGTGACTAAGAGATATATTTTCACTGGTTTTTAGCTTTAACGTGTATAGAAAACCAGTATTTTTAGAATGTTTCGATTACTCCAATAAAACGTTGCTTCCAAAATTCAGGTACGTGGGTCAGTTGGTAGGATCCGCGTGACTCAGCAAAAAATATTAATCTCTTTTACATGATTTGTAATTCAAATGTCAAAAACAACTGAGTCAAAACACAAAGTAGACGTAGAGTTTTTATGTCGTGTTTTCGTTTTTTTTCTAGGACAACGCTCTTTTCTATAATGCTACATGTGACCATATGACATAATTGTTTTTATTACCGGAAGGTATAGAAATAATACAACCTACACGAAACAAATCATGTATATTTGTAATTTATAACTTTCATATTTAAGCATAAAAACGTTATCGACTGCATTTCGTTTGTAGAATCTTTAAAGTTCTTAAAAGAAATATACATGCGAAATATAGATGATTAAACGTTCGTGCTTATTCATTACATGATTGTAATAATAATTATTATTACTTATAATAACAAGCGACGCGACGAATAAGTCGTGCGCCTGGTAGTAAGCGACACGCCTATCCATAACAGTTGCAGCGCCACTTCGAGCTTTAAATCGCAAAGATCTGAGACTGAGGCACTGCCACTACGCCAGTCACCCTGAGATTTAAGTTAACAAGTCCCATATGCCTGTAATTTAAGCGTTACGCTTTCACATTTATATGGCGAACGGTTATGAAGTGGAATTCCCTGCCTGCAGACTTGTTCCCTGAACGTTATAACGGACGAAGATGGAGCATGCACACCTATATAATGCCTATTCAGGCATTAATTAGATGTGCATGCTCCATCGTCGACCTCATCGTCACTTTCCATCAGGTGAGATGGATGTCAAATGCGCACTTACATTTTATAAAAAAAAAAATTTCCCAGCATCTTTACCCTTCAAAACCGAAACACAATAATGCTGACATTACTGCTTGGCGACAAAAATCGATAATGTCGCAGTATTTCCCCGAAAGAACTCTTTCACAAGGAGCTCTACTGCTACTCAATTATTAATTAATAATTAGTTACAGGTTCGTCACCACCAAATTCTTAATTCTTTTAAATTATATCTATACCCAACCAAGTAGCGGTAAGGGTTATTGTGAAAGAGTTCATCTAGTACCTTATCTATTCCTGCCGCCAAGCAGTAATGTGAGCATTACTGCGTTCCGGTTTTGAAGGGTAAGAGTACTGGTGAAATTACAGGCATATGGACTTGTCAACTGTATATCTCGGGGTAACGTACGCAGTGGCAGTGCCCCTCAGACTGCAATTGCTATGCGGACAGTCATTTAACATCAGGCGCATGACTAGTCTGTCCCATCATTTATAATGATAAAAAAAAAACAATTATCTCGTTTTAAAGGTGCAAAACATTACACATTTAAAATTTATAAAGTACATTTTAAATTCATAATGTGTTGAACGAGTCCACAAACTGACTTGTTTACCCTAATGATGTTTTATTGCCATTAACGCTTAATTGTCTCTTTAAGTTTTAATAAAAACTTGAAGTTTTAAGTTGAAGTCACTAATTTATGAATTAAGTTGTCGACGTTAAGTTCTACTTTTTTGTAGTGAGTAACTTGTTCACTATATTTGGGAATATATACGACTTGTGTTGTATCACTTCCATATACAAGAGAGTAAATTGAACGACTTTTTTCCAAAAACGTAATAAAAAACTATCTATAAAAGTTTGTTGAATATCGGGATGTTTCATAAATAAATAATATAGTCTTAATTACAAGTTAAAAAAAACTTCGAAAGTTCGTAGAGTTATTAACAGGCATGTGCGTGAAACCGGATTCATCCTTTAGTTTGCCACACTTAGAGCTGGATTTTTTTTTTTTCAAATTTAAATGGAACCAATATTGAGGTACCCTCTTTACAATAAAAAAATAATCATCAAAATCGGTTCACAACTACCGGTGCATTCGAGTAACATACATAAAAAAAACAATCAAATTAAGAATTTCCTTCTTTTTTGAAGCCCATTGATTAGACAACATCATATACGTTGCTCTGATCCCAAAGTAACTAGAGCACTAGTGTAATGGAAATCGGAAACAACTATGTTGCCACAAACACCCAGACTCGAGACAATATAGAAAAGTTACTTATTACATTGTCCCGGCCGGGGATCGAACCCGGGATCTCAGGTGACGGACCGGTTTTCAGGTGACGACACCATGAAAACCTGTGTTCAAGTCACTCGACCACGGAGGTGGTGTAATGTTTTATTGTCATGACATTTAATTATTTTTTGTGAAATTACGATCCTGTATCTGATCCTGTCGAGTAAAATCCTGATCAGGTAGTCTACAGGAGTAAAGGGAGTTCTTCGTCCCAAATCTGTCCGAAACAAATAATTAACACTCCACCAGATAAAAAGACGAATGATGCGATGAAGCTTCGTAACTGACATTGCCTTTAGACTTGGTCGATTATTACTTATTTGAGTGTAATTTTTTCGGGCGGGGAACGGGAATAGACTGATATAATGATGAAATAGACCCCTGACACGGTATGCTGAAGGCGCTGGTTCGACTCCAGCCGGATCGAAGGAATTTTACTTAATGTACGATCTTTGTATTAGTAATTATAAAAAAAATATCTAGTTTCCATTTTGCGCTACCACGTCAGATTGGAAAATATATAACGTGTCCTAGAAACCAAGCCAATTACTTGGTCCCAAAATGGGGATTTTTTTCCCATGAACTATGGACACCATAATCTAGAAAAGTTCGTTTCGCAAATTGATATTATCGGGAATCGAATCAGATACCTATGCACATAACAGAGCCACTTATATAGTCTAAAAAAGTCATTTTATAGGGCCATATTTTATGGAACAGCCAGTATAATTATATAAATTTAAAACTGCAAATGAGGTCCATATTCAACGGTGGCGCGATTTTACCTTTAGTGGTTAATACCGAGCTGTCCACTGTCCAGCAATATGATTTATTTAAGTTGACATAGCAGTAATTTGTCGTATCTTTGTCGACCTTTAACTTTCTCCGACTCAGAAGTCTGTACTTGTACATACTCGTACAGAAATTGTAATATAACCACGTATAGTTGAGCACGAAAGTTTTAAACTAAAACATAATTACTATCATTCCTTTTATGGACCTTGAATTAGGGTACATTAGGAAACAAAATTCTTTTATTTTGAAAGGTTCTTTTGGGAATAAAAGAGCTGGACTAAAATAATTTCCATTAATTAAAATAAACTACAAGTGATTCGCTGTATATTGGACTTGAACGTTACCATTAATTATAACGAAATAATGCTATAAGCACTTGAATTTAATATACACAATTAAGTGACGTCAAACCATTCGACAGTATTTCGAATGTTTTTATTCTTTACATGCTTACATTGCTTAAAAAAAAGCGATGTTCAAACGACAGAATTTCTAAAACCATTAATAATATTGATATTTTGGATATAAGTACCATACTTACCTT